GGGGGGGGGGGGGGGGGGGGGAACAAGGGCCGCTAGAGACTAGGTCAGGCCAAGCCTGGCTGCTGTTGGGAGGAGGGGGCACCTGGCAGGCTCTGGGCAGGCTGGGGTGGGGGAGGCCTTTGGCGGCCTCTGAGAACAAAGAGGCCGGGGTTGCCAGGATATTCTGTGGCGCTGAGGCCGGGGTGCTGGGGCTGGGAGGGGGGCTGCGGCGGCCGTGGGAACTGTGCCTGCTGCCCCCACACCAGCTCTCCATCCAGACTGGGCCTCAGGGCCGAGCGAGGCGCAGGCTGGGGTGAGGGGCTGCCAGAGCCCCCCTCCCTCCCCAGAGCTGCACGGCTGTCAGGGCAGAGACCAGGAAATGCCGCGGGCAAAGACACACATGGCAGTGGCGTCACCATTGCTGAGAGGATCACAGGTGCACAGTGACACAAGGCCATGGCCGCACAGCCAGGGTTATCCAGCAGCATCAGGGTCACACCATGGTTGCATGGATCCAGCACACACTTGCACAGGATCCCCAGTGTCAGTCCCGATCCATGATGGGTCACACAGATACAATGTCACACACTCATTGAGTCACCCAGCTTTGCCACAGGGTCACGCAATGCCAGACAACATCAGTGTTGTATATCCAATGTCACACACATACAGAATCACCGAATGTCACACATTCAGTGGTACAACCCCACATCACACTGGGTCTGTTACAGAACTGAATATCACAGGATCACACATGCAATGTCGCAGGATGTCCTAAAGTGTGCCACTGACATCATACACTAACCCATGGCCACATGAGGTCTCCTCATATCAACCTTCCACACACTGTCACAAACCCGTTTTCATGTCACACCTGATGCCTTGGGCACCTCTCTCTGTCTCTCTCTGTCTCTCTCTCTCTCTCTCTCACACACACACACACACACACACACACACACACACGGGCCCATGCAGGGGCCACCTGGAGGCACTCAGCCTCTCCAACGCCCACCCCCACCCACAGAACTGGCCCTGAACACCAGATAGTCCAGGGGAAGGTGGGAGGGGGGCAGTTTACAGAGTACCTGGCTGAAGGCTCCCAGCTGTAGAGGGACAGGGGATTAAGGGTGCCCAGGAACAGAGAACTGGGCACGCAACCCCTCTGAGAAACCTGCCTCTCAGTACTTCTGGCAGACGGGAGAACGGCAAGGGCGTGCCTGCAACAGATCCAGGTCCAGATCCGGGAGACAGAGATGAAGGGACAGGAGAGACAGAGATCCAGAGACTCACAGGGACTCAGAGATGCGGGAACGTGAAGAAACACAAAGACACAGAAGACGCAGGGACCAACAGAGGCCATCACAACAGAGATGCAGGGACAGTGGGCCAGAGAGAATCAGTGGAAGACAAGCAGGGTGGGGCTGGGGCCTGGAAGGGGAAGGGTGGGAGGCTGGGCCACTGCATGGAGGTGGCGGCGGCTAGGGCTGCAGGGAGGACACCCAGCCCAGGCAGAAGGTGGGGGACAGTGAGCTTTAGGTGAATAATAGTTTTAAAATAGCAACACCAGCTGCCATTGACTGAGAGCTTACTACAAGCCAGGCCCTTCCCTGGTGTGATGTCATCTCATCCTCAGGCGACTTCATGGGGGAGACAATTACCGTCCAGTTCCCCGGATGAGGTAACTGAGTCCTCGGCGAGAGTTTTCAGCCGACAGTGGCCTTCTGCAGGCACAGTGGGGCTGGCCAGCCACTTCCACAGAGCAGAGCCCCAAGCTGAAGAGGTGAGGGATTTGGGCGTGCTGGGGGGCGAGCCCAGGAGCCGTGGCTGGTCTGTGGGCTGGCACGCGAAAGGTGCAGGCTGGCTGAGTCACGGCACCCCCCTCGGGGCTGGCAGCAGAGCCGTCCACCCCACACCTGTGGGGGTGCCAACGAGGCCGGCTGAGGCCATCTGCAGCCTGTGCGCTGCCAGCAGCGGGTGGGGGCGGGCAGGGGCCTCCTGCCCGGTTGCCCCCTGCTGGCCAGGCTCCCCCCCCTCTCCTCCCGGGGAGGACCCTCCCGCCTCGAGGTTCCGGAGATGCTGTGGTCGGCCTTGTGCTGGGGTGAGGGTGCCCCCAGCTGCAACAACCCCCCTACTCCCTGCTGGACGCCCCCGTTCGTTCGGCAGAGCCGCCTGGAGAGATCACAGGCAGCCACATGAAAGGGAATTTTTCCCAGGCAGAGATGAAGTTGAAAGCTGCCTCCTGCAGCCCCCGCCTGCCCCCGCTGTGCCAGGCCAGGCTGCAGAGGCCCTGGTGCTCGAAGGGAGCCTGTGACACCCGGGAAGGGGCCGGGGGTCAGCGCCACCGCCGCCAGCACCGCTGCTCTCTCCCTCCCAGGACAAGACCATCTCACCCCTCCCCAACACCCACTTAGCTTCAAAAGTTACTCCTTCCATCACCCACCTGAAGCCAGTCCCCAGCATTGTCAGGAAGTCCTCCCTCAGGTCTAGCCCCTGTCTCAGCCAGGCACAAAGCAGCTGGGTAAAAAGAGCGCTCCCAAGCCGGGCTCAGTGGCTCAGCCTGTAATCCCAGCACTTTGGGAGGCTGAGGTGAGTGGATTGCCTGAGCCCGCGGGTTCGAGACCCGCCTGGGCAGCGAGACCTCATCTCTACAATAAATCAAAAAATCAGCCGGGCGTGGTAGCGCGTGCCTGTAGTTCTGGCTACTCGGAAGGCTGAGGCGGAAGGATCGCCGGAGCCCAGCAGGTCGAGGCTGCGGTGGCCGGGAGCGGCCACTGCACTCCAGTCTGGGCGACCGAGTGAGACTCCAACTTAAAAAAAAAAAAAAAAGGAGCGCTCCCTCTGTGGACGGCAAAGCCTTCTCCTTCAGGAGGGACTCTGTGCTGCACAAGCAGGGGCACACAACAGCTCCTCCTTCCTGTTCAGGCTGCGGTGACTTCTCCAGACATTTAGCCTCTGAGGCTCAAGGCAGCCTTGTACCAACACACCCTCTGTGGGTGGAGACAGTCAAAGCTGGGGACACCCTCAGAACTTAGTGTTGCAGCCCTCAGGCCCCAGGAGCCGTGTGTGTGAGTGTGCGTGTGTGTGCGCGCGCACGCGCGCACGTATGCGCGTGTTGGGAGTTGGGAGTGTCTGTGTGCGCGCTGGGCATACCAGGTCCCCATGAACCTGGGCTAAACTGCTCCCTCGGGAGACACGGTGGCTGGAGGAGTGGATACAGGAGGCAAAAAAGATCCCAGTAGGCAGCTCAGCATCCGCCACCCCCACCCCCTAGGTCCACACTGCTGACTGCTTTGCACTGATTAGACCTGTTGAATCAAGGTACAGAGAGAAGGTGGCCTCAGGGTCTGAGATAGGGGGACGGCAGGCCCCAAGGTCTGAGGCAGGGGTGGGGGGACACAGCAGGCCCCAGGGGCTGAGCTATGGGGATAGCAGGCCCCAGGGTCTGAGATATGGGGACAGCAGGCCCCAAGGTCTGGGGGGGGTGCGGGGACAGCAGGCCCCAGGGCCCGAGGCAAAAGGACAGCAACAGCAGGCCCCAGAGTCTGAGGCAGGGTGACAGCAGGCTCCAGAATCCGAGGCACGGGGACAGCAGCCATATGAAGCGCGTCTCCACGCGGACTGCCAGGTTGGCTGCTCCTGCCCTTCCCATCCTGGATCCAGAAGGCCTCTCCTCCCAGGAGACCCCCGTGCTGTATGTCCCTGGACCATCCTTCTTCCCCCACGGGGTGTTCTCAGACACACCCTGCCCAGCACAGCCCCCAGACCCAGAGAGCAAGAAGCCAGCAGTGCTTCGTGACACAAACATGCATTCGTTTTATTCACAAAACAGCCTGGTTCCCTAAAACAATACAAACAGCATGTTCATCAGCAGGAAGCTGGCCATGGGCAGGGGGCCCAGGCCGCAGGGGGCCCCCGGGCACCCACCCCCACCGGCAGGGGACCACGCAAAGACGCCCTTGCTTCTGTCGCTGTCAGCGAGGCCAGAAAAAGGGACTTATTTTCTCTAAGGGAAGTAGCCAGGATTGGAGAGACCGAGACGGGGGCTCCCCAGGTCTCCATGGATAAACGAACAGAACTTTCATTTTTCCAAAATCATCACTGTCTGGGGACTGTGGGTACAGCACGGCTGGCCTGGGCCTGGGGTGGGTGGGTGCCCCCTCCCCCTGCGAGCTCCATGTGCGGGGATGGGTACGGAGGGGCTTCTCCATGGCGCCACCAACATTATCTTTACAAACGTGAGTGGATTCTCCAGGCAAACTATGCACTATTTCATGGTCGGAAGGAATCAAAGGAAGTTTAAATGAGGGTGGAGTTAAACTGTGCTAAATTACAGTAGTGCTTATTAGTAACTAGATTTCAAAAGGTTACAGAAAATTTACATTCTCTACACAAAAACTGCATCTCCTGCACAAACAACATCGACATCGACACAGGAAGGAAACTGATTGTCCATTCTTTGCCCAGGAAGTCTCGGTACTTTATAGATTCGTCTTTACCTCTTTTTTGTTGCTGTTCTTCCGAAAAAGCGTTAAAATTTTTTTTCTTTTCTTTTTCTTTTTAGACTAGGGACGTGGAGATGTTAAAACGACAACAAAAAATATATATATAAAAACAGGAATGAAATCTGTGAGAGAATATTTTTGGTTCTAAAGACGGGTGCATCCGTTTGTCTTCGCCCGAATCCCTTGCTGGAGACCACACGAGCAGTGACATTGCACGGAGAGGGCAGCTTTGGGTTCCGCCGCCGTCACTGAAACCACCGGAAGGCGGCTCCCGTCGGAAGCATCACCTTCTGGCGGGGCGGGAGACAAAAACAAGGAGAGAGTTCAGTCAGGGTCCGGGTGGGCCTGGCGCAAAGACGTTCCCCTGTGGACAGGCTCGTGGCGGAGGGATGGGCATGGAGGAGAGCAGCCACCCGCGGAGCTCCTGCCACCCAGCCAGGCCAAAGGAGCTTGACCCGCTGGGGGCCCAGAGGACCCTGAGGCCTCCTGAGCCACCGTGCCCAGGAACCCTGCTTCCAGACAGGAAGACCTTTGTCTCGGCCAAAGCAGTGCCAGGTGGCTGTGATGCATCAGGAGGCCATGTGCGTGTTCTGTCAAATGAGCCTGTCAGCATGTGCATTGGATACATCTATGGGTGTGCCTCGCGCTCTGCTGGAGGGCACAGCTCGTGGGAGGAGGAATATCTGGTGTATCTATCAAGCGGCTGTGTCTATAGGAGTATGTGTACCAGGCAGGTGTGCGTGTGTCCACGCTGGACCCAAGCGGGTGCCTCTGCATACACAGGAGAGCAGAAACATGAGGGCTGGGACGGGGCAGGGTGGCCAGGAGGCCATGGCTGGGATATCCTTGCTGTCTTTCAGCCATTCTGGACATTTGCACCAAGCCTGTAGGGGGCAGGACGGGGCAGGGACAGTGGGCTGAAAAGATGTTTTTGTACCCAGGCCTGGCACTCCAGCTGGGTTGCCACATCTGGGGGCACAGGTCTCAGAGCAGGGCAGCCAGCACCAGAGCTGCTCTGTGCTTGGGTGGCCTTGGGGGGGAAGACTGGGCTCTGGAGGGCCTAATGGAGGGCTTGCCCTCGAGGGCAAAGGGTTCGTGGGACGGAACCCCTCACATGAGGCAGGGGAGGGTCCAGACCGGTCACAGACTGGATGATTTAGGACATGCCTGAACAACAGAAACTTAGGTCCTGTGTGGGAATCTCAATACCCGATTCAGAGCCCCAGGAGGGGATCAGAATCGCAGGGCCTCGCTGGGACTGCGGGGCCCTGGCCTGCAATTGGATGCTCGCCTGACAGACCTCAGCCTGATGGGATCTCAGAATGTGGCTGACGGCTGGGCGGTGAGTTGGTGTTTTGCAGCCAGACCCCCAGGCCACAGGGACTGGCCGGCATCCCCCGGTCGCTGGTCCAGGCAGGAAAGTTGGGGTCAGGGGCCAGGGATGGGCCTGGACTGCCAGACGGACGCACGAGCCCACACACCTCCCTCTAAGGCGCCGTTACCTCCAGAGCAGCGGAAGGCTTCTTTTTGAGTTCCTCACATTTTCTGAATTTGCAAATCTGATGGCCAGTCTTTCGGTTCCTACAACTGCTGCACTGCTCGCAGTTGATGCGCCGCCGGCAGGGCGCGCACATGCCGCAGCGTTTCCGCTTCTTCTTGCCCGAGCTGATGGCGGAGGCCAGCTCTCCCTGCATGGGGTACTCGGCCAGGCCGGCCATGTGCAGCGCGCTCTCGGCCAGGAACACGCCGGCCGGGGTCATGATGAAGAGGCCCGGGTTGATGGGGAAGGCGCCCAGGTAGGGGAAGTCGGACTGGCCATTGAGGGCTTCGGCGCCGGCCACGGCCTCCACGTCGGGCAGGCCGGCGCCCGCCTCGCTCATTAGCGGCAGGGGCTCCTGCACC